ATTTGGGCGCGAATGGATTCGTAACTTTGACATATCTATTCATGACGTAAATCAAATGGCGAGTCCTAGTTCTTACAAGCAAAACACCCTAAAGGAAAATAATATAAAACAAGACATTTTTGACACATATGAATCCCTATTTACAAAAGAAGTAGGAATTGCACCAGATAAACAAGTCAATCTTTCATTAAAGCCTGATTCAAGACCCATTTTTATTAAATACCGTGTCCCTCCTGTTGCATTAAAAACTAAAATAGAAGACGAATTGTGCTTACTAGAAGAAAAGGGCATCATTTCGAAGGTAACCAATTCAGAATGGGGAACACCCATAGTACCTATATTGAAAGAAGATGGAACAGTAAGAATATGTGCTGATTATAAAGTAACTGTAAATTCCCAACTGCAAAATGATCACTATCCTATTCCCAGGATTGAAGAGATATTTGACAAGTTAAATGGAGGACAATACTTTACAACCTTGGACTTACATAAGGCGTATTTACACCTTCAAATGGACGATGATAGTGCCAACCTTCAAGCCATAAGTACCCATATGGGAGTTTTTAAGGTAAATAGACTTATGTTTGGAATAAAAACAGCTCCAAACATATGGCAACGCTACATGGACTCAGTTTTAACTGGACTGGAAGGTACTGCTGTTTTCTTTGATGATATAATAGTTCAAGGAAGGAGTATTGAAGAAACAAAACTACGCACGATCAAGGTGTTGGAACGTTTGAAGGAAAACAACTTGCACATAAACAAGAATAAAAGTAAATTTTTTCAAGAGTCTGTGAACTACTTAGGATACAAAATTGATGGAAAAGGATTGCATAAGAGCCATGATAAGATAGAAGCTGTTTTGAAATGTCCCATACCCACTAACATTACTGAATTGAAGCAGTTTCTTGGGCTTGTAAACTATTATCACAGGTTTCTACCCAACCTCGCAACTAAGATACATCCATTATATGAACTGCTACATAAGAAGAAAACCTATACATGGACAAAACGATGTAATGATGCTTTTGAGGGCATTAAGAAGGAAATCACAACAGAGAGGGTTCTTACAACATTTTCACCAAACCTACCACTGATACTGGCAACGGACGCTTCGCCTCATGGACTATCTGCTGTTTTATCTCACAAGATGCCGGATGGAACCGAACGACCTATAGCTTTTGCTTCAAGGACATTAAGTAAAGCAGAACAAAATTACAGCCAAATTATTAAGGAAGCGACTGCGATCTACTGGGGTGTTCATAAGTTTTTCCATTACTGCTATGGTCGAAAGTTTACACTTATAACCGACAACAAACCATTGTCTTCTATTTTCCATCCCTCAAAATGCCTACCACCCTTAACCGCCACTCGAATGTTACACTACGCTGTATTTCTGTCAGGTTTTGACTACGAAATACAGTATCGTAAAGCATCGAATCATGTCAACGCAGATTTCCTATCAAGGTTTCCTGTTAACAATACATGTGATCATCAAGAATCCTTAGATGAAACAGTATCAGACAAATACCTTTTACAAGTACAACTGAATTCCCTTCCTGTCACAAGTAATGAAGTAAGAAGAGAAACTATGAACGATCCAGAATTAAAGTTGGTATACAATGCCCTAATGACATCCTCTTACATTACGAAGCCTGAACAATACAAAGGTTTAGAGGGAGAACTGTCAATTGAAAACGGATGTTTATTTAGAGGAGTTTGAGTTGTAATCCCATGTACTTTACGAAAAACTATTCTGAAAGAACTACATGAAGCTCACACAGGCATAACAAAAATGAAAGAACTAGCCAGGCAGTATTGTTGGTGGCCTACAGTGAATTCTGACATAGAAAACTATGTAAATTCATGTAAACCATGTGCATTGAATAAAAACGATCCTCCAAAGTACCATGAACCATGGCCAAACTCCAATATTCCTTGGGAAAGGGTGCACATAGATCATGCAGGACCATTCAGAGGTACATACTTTTTCATAGCAGTAGATTCATATACAAAGTGGTTGGAGGTAAAGGAAACAAAAAGTATATCTAGTTTCTCCACTATAAGAATCTTAAGAGAAATGTTTGCAAGATTCGGCATTCCAAGTACAATTGTTAGTGATAATGGTCCTGCGTTCATTTCACATGAATTTAAACATTTTATGGAATCCAATGGTATTCAACATAAACTGATGGCACCATATCACCCAGCTTCAAATGGACAAGGGGAACGTTATGTACAAACTCTAAAAAGGAAACTAAGTGCAATGGCTGAAGAATCTGGAGACATCCATACAAACCTATGTAGATTCCTTCTACAAACCCGTAAAGTTATGAACATAAGCACAGGAAGAAGCCCTGCGGAGATGATGTTCAAACGGAGTATACGTACGAGAATTGATCTGCTAAAGGCGAAAAGGATCTCTGACACAGAAGGCGTTGGTACCTTAAGATGTTTTAGCACTGGCGATAACGTTCAAGTTCGAGACTACAGAAGTAATCATCCTAAATGGAAATTTGGTAAGGTGGTCAAAATATTAGGAAACTGCCATTATGGAGTTGAAGTTGAAGGTTTAATGGTTAAATGCCATGTTGATCAAATGCGCTCTACACTAGTATCTTTAAATGAACAGTCCGATGAAGCCTCAGAGTCTGAGTCACAGAAACATGCACAAGTGGTAAACAAACCAAATGACTCTCCACAAGCATCACACAGGACGAAGAATTTTTATCCATCATCTGTAATAAGAAGATCTCAGAGAATACTGAAGAGGCAATAAGCTGATTCTTTTCCAGGGAAGATTATTATATCCTGTACATACAATCAGCTGATAATATTAAATTAAATGTTCTTTATTTATTATGAATGAAAAACAAACAAAATAAGACTTCAGTTAGAGTTACTACATCTTTACATTATGAACCTTGTTAAACTTGTTAATAAATAACTGTTCTTAAAGTTGGTGTTTAATATACAATAATGTTCATCCCTAGTTTTGATAATTAAGTTTAGGCCTAAATAATATAGATTTAAAAAATGATGTTGGTTAAATGCAAAGTCTTATGGAATGCCTGCCACAAGGTGAATGCCTACCTGTAAATCGTGAAATAACACTGGTACGGTAGCAAGATAACTTGACTATAAACCATATTGTGTACTGTTTGTAATAGTTTTTATGGTTACCTAGGCCTAAGTTACTCAAGAAGTTATTAGGCCTAACTTAAAGTGTGTTGAATCATATCAATGTTGAATGAAACCCATTAGAATGAAGGTTAAGTAATGTAGTAGCTTTACAGAACTTGAACTCATAAAAAACGCTAGCTTTAAATCTGGGCTGTAACTATAAATTAACTAATATTTTATTCATAAATAATTATACCCATGTCTAAAAATCGTAAACACATCATTCCATTCCTCAGGTCTACAGACAGAATAACTTTTCTGACACAATAAATAAAACGTGTCTATTTCGTCAATATTTCTATCTTACCTGTTTGCGTTTTCCTATTAAGTTTACACTATAGATTTTACAAAATAAATGCAAAGATGAGATGAGTGCAACAGCATTGTTTGTATATTAATCACAAATTTAATTGGATTTTGAATATTTGGAATTTTGGAGCAGACCAGCGACCAGCAGACGGCCACGGCGGCGTAACGGCACTAACACTAACGGCAGCTGAGCAGCAGACAAACAAAAGCAAAAGAGAGAAGAATCAGTACGTTTGAATTGAATTGAACCATTGGTGAAAAACGACCAACCAGCAGATTCCGATTCCCGCTAAAATGCAAGCTGTCTGGGGAGAGAGCTCAGTTGAACAACGAGCTGACAAATTTTATTTTATAAGTGTATAAATGCACTGAAACTATGCTGTATGGATTTGAGTTTATCTTTCAACGATATGTATATAGTAGAATCCTAAAGCTTAGCTTATCTTGTTTTATCTATGCTTATATCCAACCATGACGGGGCCGAGCTATGGTTGGAATATTAATATAGATGGGTCGGATATCGGGAGGAGCATATCTTGCGGTCTCTGTGTCACTAGTAATGTTTTCATAATCCTATTGTCTATTTTTTAGCCTTTTAATTAGATGTCTTATATGTGTTGGCAACACGCCACACCGCACTTCCTCCATTATAAGAGAAGCCATTGTGCTATAGATTTTTATGAGGTCGACACACGAAAAGGTGCATCTTTTAAGCTGAAGATTTGTGAAGCATACCGGTATAAGATTTATTGAAAATATAACGTGTTGTTATAGTGACTAAGATCAGCCATGGCTCATATCAGGACCTATCAGGGCCTGTTTGCAACTTTCCACGATTCTAGTGACTAGCGCCACATAATGCTTGACAATTACATTTTAAAAATCATGATTTTTTTGCTTTATTGTCGGAATTGTTAATATAGACTAGCAGAGTATCCGTCCTTTGTACGGGGTTCTTTCCACCATGGGGTTAGCGTGTAAGTGTGATGTACTTTTATTGCTAAAGGTACTTGTAAAAATATAGCAGCTATCGCTGAGTAAGACCCATCAGGATTTATGAAATGGGTAGTCTAAGATTAGAAGTATGGATTGAGAAATTGTATTAACTAAGCAAAATGTATATACTTATATATATATATATATATATATATATATATATATATATATATATATATATATATATATATATATATATATATATATAAAATTATATTTTTCTGAAGTGTTTTTTGTCGGTGCGCCGACACTGAAAAAATTACGGTGAGTGCCCCATAATAAAGTTGACTCTATTTCTCTTTCTCATGATAAAAGAGTTGGCTAATGGTTAACTTATTTTAGGTGAGACACCCTGTGTATGGGCTTTTAAAATCCAAGCAAGAACACGTTATTTGTGTATATTTTTTGTGGCAGCAAACTTAAAGTATTGTTGGTTATTGTTTATATGGGAGGATATAACTATAAAAAATATTCATATTAAATTTTGTTATGTTATGAATCCTGAATGTTTATTCAATTAGGCAAATGAAGATTTGCCTATAGTATGTGGGTTTGAAACAACCATAGATTCATATAAATAAGTTATAATCTATTATCTACAATAAGAAGAAATGTAACAAAAGGCCATAAAGCTAATCCATAATACACTTAATTAAAGCAATTATTTAGTTCAATGAGTTTTATATAGGATCAGCTTTGTGGAAAATTGTTCATACAAATAGTTTGGTAAAATGAAAGTAAATCATGCCTTGATTTTTAAATAACAGAGTTGTATATTTTTCTTTAGATAGGTACACTCTTTGTTTTATTTAACTATTTATTTTACAACCAACTCAATTAGGTGTGCATTAAACTAAAATTGAAGTATATTGCACCCACTTGAGGGTGAATTCTGAGCTGGACTATTTAACAAACAAAAATAGAGGCCTTCTTTAAAAAACGTATAGGTAGGCCTACTATGGAATTCTATCAGGCTACTGCTACATAATATCAAGTACACTCATTTGTAACAGAAAATGTAATCACTGTAAGGTATATTTTACATTTTTTACCATGTTGTATATTAAAAAGTTATGTTGAACATTTTACGTTAAAATATCATATTTTTGTACTTTTTATCCAGTATACACAGGGTTTTTGTACTTTAAATAAATTAAAGTTATGATATTGTCACAAAAAATTTGTGTTAATACCTCTGTATTCATGATATATACGATCTGGACCGTTGCAAATAAATACCATACTGCAACGATCCAGATCGCATGAATGCAGGTATTTACATCAATTTTTAGTATTCAAATATGACCAGGAGGCTGAAATTCAATAAAATTATGACTATTACACAATTTTGAGTTCTATTAAAATTTAACATGACTTAATATAAGCTTGTAGAAGTTTGTACATTTAAAAAATTAAACTAGTTAACATATAACAATTAGAAAATATATAAAACAAAATTTACAATAACATTTTTAATGACTAATCAATGTCTCGTTGTTGTCAGTCTTGGTGGTGTGATTCTGATCATATTTGGTTTGTCATCTTCTTCCTCAAAACTCATCTGTGAATGGATGCATTCTAGAGAGTTGTTTTTCTTCTGTACTTTGGGGGATCTTGAGAGACGAGGAGATTTCGTGATGACTCGAGGAACCCTTTTGTTCATCTGCTTTTCTACCCACCTCAACATTGTCAGCACAGAGTCTGGACCTGCCAGTCTAGAGTCAGCTGCTGTCCGCACTGTGGGGGACGAGTCAACTCTGAAAGTGAATGCAATACCTTGCAAAGCCTGCATCGCATCTTCATTCCCTGCGTAAATGATCCTGACACGCTCGGACCAGTCTACTCCGTACATCGTCCGAAGGATGTGAATAGAAGCCCTGCCTTGATCCCACTTGACTGGAGGTTTAGCTTCGATCGCCATGTGCCCGAAATGTGGTTCAAACCCTGCTTTCTTAAAGATTTCACTGGCTCTGTTCACAATGTCCTCTCGAATAGCGGCAGGCGTCTCTCGGTAGTGGAAGGTCAGAAGGACTCCTTTGTTCTCCACCCAGGCTCCGTCATGACAAACTTCATCTTGCAATAACCTCATCAGCTCTCGCAACTTTTCAGCGTACTCGTTGGGAACAGGATGAATGAATTTGGTTCCATCGGGATGCAGAATTTCTAAACCGTGACTTCCTGCATATGTAACTTTCTCGATATTGACCATGTTGCTGATGTTTTCCAAACTCCTTCCAGAAATGATAGAAATATTGACATCCGACATGTTTGAGAGTCGCTCTAGAACCCGTTTAGTTTCTTCAGACATTATGGCTAGGTCAGGATGAGAAGTGAGAGGAGTGAGGGTTCCGTCATAGTCGAGAATCATACTTAGCTTACAGACATCATCGATGTGGTTAATAAAATATGAATCAAAGTCTTCCAATGTCAAAGGCAACATTTTGTTAGTCAAAGGATCTTCTTCGTCATCATTGCACAAGGCTCCCATAGATGACAAGAAAGAGTTCATCCAGTGGTTAACGTTGTGTAAAGCTTCTCTATGGCGCAGTTGTGTCATTCTCAATTCTCTCTCATCAAATGGCATCTGCAAGGCTCTGTGGAGGGTTTCTGCAGATTCGTCAATCTCGTATGGGTTAGCTAGAAGAGCTTCGTGCATCATTCCTCCAGCTCCTGCGAATGGTGACAGTATGAGCACCCCAGGCTCTTTGATCTGACATGCGACGTATTCTTTTGCTACCAAGTTCATACCATCTCTGAGAGGAGTTACTAATGCTACAGCAGAGTCTCTGTACAGTGATGCGAGCTGCTCTTGGCTAATGCATCCATAGATGTACCTGATGGGTGCCCAGTTAGGCTTAGAGAACTTTCCGTTAATTCTTCCTATCAGCTGATCCATTTCTTCTTTCAGCTGTTTGTATTCTCTCACATTGGTTCTTGATGGGACGGCTATTTGAAGGAGTGTAACATTTTCTATGTATTCTGGGTGTTTTTCCAATAACCTCTCAAATGCTCTAATACGATGAACGAGACCTGAAAATGATGAAAGTTGGTTAAAACCTGACCCAACAATAAACAGTGTTGGGCAGTTATTTACACGATTCTATAGCTGAAGGATGCTAGAGATCATATATTGTCCTACAGTAACTTTAATAGGAGAAAATGAAAGTGCAAATCATCCAGTAGCATCTCAAATGACTACTGGAACTTTTGCACTTCTTAAAAAAATGTCAACACAATACGTCTTGGCGGTGCTTGATTTGTAAAAAATGAGGTGCCGGAACTGTAACCTATTTAATGTGATTAGAAATTTATATACCTATTTATGCCAATATTTTTATCTTTCTGAAAGAGAGGTACCGGAACTCTGTTCCACAGCGTTCCTCCCCAAATCAAGCACTGGACACGCTTTCAAAATTTGATGGAATTCACACCGTTTTCGCAGTCTCTTGAATGTTTGGACTAGTAAAATCAATATTAGTTTTTTTCATTCAATAGAAACTCTCAAACACAACTAATCAACCACCAGACTGTCAAATATCATGTTGTTTTTCCAATGGTTCAACATATTTTGAATGAACTTGAGTCTGAAGTCCTAGTTGATTTTAAATTTAACTATGACTCTGTCACTGAGTAAACCTGTTAATGAGTAATCACAGACATTCCAATGCTAAATACCTTTAGTATAATCCAGCCTGTCAACTCCCAGGATGACTTTGACTTTGTCCGTGTCTTTGATGAAGACAGGAGCATTCTCTGCCAGCTGGACGAAGCGTTCGAAGGGGATGCCAATGGGGAGAGCCTTGATGTGTACAGTGCGGCCCGCAAGCTCGGCCAGCATGTTGTTACGGTCCACTCGGCAACCAAGCCTCCTACTGCAGCAGTCTATGAAGTTGGAGCAGTAGTCTTCAATGTGGAAGCCCACAAAGTCACACGCTGAAAATATTCAAATCAGAATAATGCCTCTAAATTATTTAAAATTGGGAAATAATAACATTATTAATCCTATATCCCATGAAGAAAGTACCTAGCCAAAAATCGGGCTATTCATTTGTCAATAGTATTTTTATCCTCTCCTTAAAAAGGCAACAAATTGAATACATTGCTAGACGATGTTTCAATATTCTACTTCTAGTTGATTTTTCTTATTCAGCAATGTTTCTCCCAACAAAAAAAACTGGAACAACTTGGCTTGAAGTGGGGCTTGGGGGAAAAGTCGTCAGAAAGTTAAATGTGAGTTGTGTCTTAGCACTACTGTTGATCAGACCATCAAAATGGCCATCAGCTAGGTGTTTGGAATAGATTTAAAGAAGAAAATACTTAAAAAAATAAAGAGAAGTCGACCCATCCAAAACCCTGACTAGCCAATAATCTATTGATTTATTTTTATTTTTATGGATCTAAAATAAACAAGTGTCTTAGACTTAATGAATTTTCTTCTCAATCATGTGACATTGGGGTAGAACACCTTTTTGAAACCCTTGTTACAACTCATTGGTGATTATGATTACACAAAACTTTTCTTACCAAGCATTCCTTGCAAAATTTGATCATCCCACGGAAACAGCCTCATAATGTCCCATGATGGAAAAGGAATGTGCAGGAAAAACCCAAGTTTACATCTTAAATTTTCTTCTTCACAAACCTGTGAAAGGAAAAACTATAATAGAGTTGTTGTTACCAAGAGTTGTTGTATTTTTATTACCACTAGATTTTTTAATAATATACGAAAAATATTTCTCCAAATGTAAAAGACAGGTAAAATGTGCAACTTATCTAAGCCTACAGTAATATTACATTTTTCAATTACAAAATTAGTTGCAATCTGGATTGCATATTTCGTCATGAGATCATAGTGATAACTGATGTATTAATTGCTGGCCATTAGCGATTAGTGAGCTCAGACAGAAAAACATCGGAATGGGCTTGTGTCATTGACCTATTAAGCTTATCACAAAATGCATGAAATTACATCAGAACCTAATTTTCTTGATATGCATTCAAAACAATCCAACGTATAAATTAATTAACTTATAAATCCAATTTATAAATTATGTAGGAACTAGGTGCTGCACCCGTGCTTGGCAACTGGGAGTGGACGCAGAGGAGAAAATTTTGTTCTTTAAATTTGTTTTACTCTTTAACAACCCTTGTAAAGCCAATTGTAAGAAAGAGTTTATAAAAGAAAATAATAATAATAAAGGGGTTGAAATAGCTACACATCCACCATTAGTTGTAGAAAAATGCAGTGTTTTCTTATATTTTTCCCATGAAGAGCTCATAAAGAAAAAGCAACACTTCATCTATTAGACTTCAGTTAAATGACAACAGAAAACTATATTTTGAAAATTCATATAAAAAAATGTATAGTACTACTCTCTGTTGTTAAACGCTGTAACTTTATACTGTAATTCTATTGAACACCATAGAACCCAACTTATTTGTTTAAGTTGAAATAGCAGCAATGATTATTTTTTTAATTATTGCCTATAAGGGAGGTCTGCAGATTTCTATCCATGAGACCACGATGTTCTCTGTGGTTGTCCTTTAAGCATCATGTTTCCTTTTCAAAGGAGATTAAAAATGTCATTAAAGTTAAGATAATTTTGGTCTTTGATTCTTTTTAAATATGAATACTCTTCTAGTAAATATTCAGGGAATTTTCTAAGAATATGCAGAGTTGTATGTGCCATTGCAATAGAAACGTACAGTAGGGCAATAAACATGTTGATCAATATACGCCAACCCAGTATTAAGAATACGTACTCAGCTAGTTTCACAAAATTTTTATTGTAATTATTATATGACTTATGTTTAATTCTCACCTGTCTGATGTAGGTAGCCGCAGTGAACAGCTGATAGTCATGTATCCAGACCACAGGTGCTACATTGGTCCGTCCTTCCTCGTCCAGATCTTTGATCACCTTGCGCAAAGCTTGGAGCGTGCAACGTGCAAACTCCTCATTAACTCTGCAGTACGCCTGTGCAAAACAACACCTATTTAAAAAATATTATCATAAAGAATCGGTTATTTTGTAAATCCGAGCCTTCCACAATTAGTTTACTCAAATAGTGATTGTTAATCAAATGAAGAGCATATGAGGCACATCACTTTTTATATTAGCAAAATTTTAGTATTTTTATATGAGTTTATTTGTTTACTGCATGAACATATTTTGGAAAAATGTATGGCTCGAAAACATAATGTAGATAATTGGTAAGATAATTAAATAGATAATTGATAATTATTCAAACATCAATTAGGTATCAATAATTGAGATGGGGACTCACCTATGTACATATTTTAACCCAAATATTGAAGGAGTGACTGAAGCATAGACACAGAATAGATATAGATCTATATGACAGTCGACTGTCAAAGGAAGGTTTTGTGATGTCCCGCTAGAGTGTGCTCAGTGTTGGTCGATAATGGTGTTCAGTGGTGTTAATGTTGTTTTGTGTGTCTCAGTGGTATTCGTTGACTCATTGTCTGGTACCAGCACTACCACCCTTCAAACGAAATGCTACCAATGTACCAGACCCATACTTTTAAATATGGGTAAGGTAAAAAATTATGAAATCCCGTAATTTTAACGGAAAATCCATTTTTTTCAATCCCCGGAAAGGTTTAAAACACAGAAAAATAACGGAACAAACTCCTACACCCCGGATTCCGGGGAATTCTCCAGAAGTTGGCAACCCTGTCTTTATAACTACTGTACCAGTTTGTCATGGCAACGCTCATCGCTAGCGCTTGACGCTGCAGCGGAGTGCGCCGAAACTACACGGCACTCCTAGCGGTGGACGCCAGAATATTATGCTAACCGCAGTACTGCTCTCAGTCTGTATTTCATTATTTTGTCTATGGTGAAAGATAAAGTTTGTGTAAAATGGAGGGTAATAAAATGTGTAGCTTTGTTACTAAGATCAGCTGTTTCATTCGTCAGCTGTTATATAAAAAGAAATACACAAGACTTTTAAACAAAACATAACAAAAGTCAAAAGAACGGAATGTACATCAAGATCAAACTAGATCATGGCCTTTGCTTTGAGATAACATTTTAGGGTTAAGCACAATCAAATCCTGATTGTAGGAATTGCTGAAATAATCATTTGTACAATGAATGTTAAAACTCATACTAATTAAAAGTGTACAATCTGTAAGTTGATTGCTTGTGTAACAAGTCATAATGAGCATGTACAAAGTTTTAGCGAGAATCTAAAACTCAATGTTTATGTTATGTTTGTTTAGTGTCTTTTTTCAAGTAATGAAAAGGAACGTAATGGCAATGAAAAAAAATAGTTTATTAGTGGAACTAACATGCAAAGTGGTACGGAAACATGAGATAAATGTTTCCGCAAGAGCCCAGGTGAGTGTGAAAAGTTTCTTGAGTGCAGCAAAGTCATTATATTTTCCCTACAGTCACTTTAAATAGACCTATAAAGTCTTTCAAACACTATACAACAACACATTTAAGGTTAAATCCAAGACCAAGAGTTGAACGAAATTGGAAAATGGAAAGGCTGCATCAGCCACCAGCTGATCGTAGTCTAGTATCTTTATCTTTAAGTGTTACCAACTTATTTTCAAGCGTACATGTATTACGCCTAATAACAGCAACACTGTTTTTGTTTGCTTGGAATAGCAAAAGTAAAAGAGGTTGACAAAAAGTCGGTAAATGCAGCAATTAACTACTTGGCGTGCTAAGTAGATCAGATTGATTTTATTGTTAATATTTTCTTGTTGAATAATGAATCGAATACGTGATACGAATTGAACACTTTGTATTAAATAACTCTGTTATGAATGAGGAGGTGAATGCAAAATATCTTACAGAACGTATAACTTAGATAGCAACTTTCCTGTTTGTATTGATTTGGTAATCTTGAGCAAACAAACTAGTAAATAATAAGTTGTCCAATCTTTGTTCAAACGTAAAAACAAATGCTGCATCTAAACAGGGAAATGAATTCCCACAGACGACCTTCGGTCTAGACACCATAGCTTTATTTGATTAGGCTAATTAAAATGATGTGGTATTAGTAAATTTTGAAAATTCATAGTTTAATTTTTAAGTATTCGTCCTAAACTGAACACGGGAAATATTCTTTTAAGGCATTTTTGTACGAACGTAAACATCACCAAGCCTATTAATTCTGTTCCCTTGATACATTGACATTTCCTTGATTTTTTGCGTCAACCATTTTGTCAGATGAAATGAGTTGCCAAATGCTCGACGCCAAAAAAGGATTCAATTATGATTGATTCTTTAGATGCGAAAGCCTAAGCATACACGTTGTGATTTCATATTGAATTAAAAACATTTCCAGTTATTAAGTTCAAACATGCAGTAACACGATTTTCAATTTTATTACAAGGTGACCGGCCCTGATAAAATATTCCCTGTATGTATATAACCTACCTTCCATGTGTCTTTCTTGAAAACAGCTCTGTCAGGCATAGAATGGAACAGGGGCCAGAATGTTCCGTTGCAGCAACCATTGTAGTAAGCCTCAAACTCCCTTTCATCCACATGCACTGGCACTATCTGCAAAATTGCAAACATTTTTCAAATTCATCGCAAATCTAGATTTTGGTGAGACATTTAGAAAGAAACAGATTTCAGATAAAAAAAAACCCTTTAGCTCTCAAGTGATTTCCAGCAATGATAATTAATTTAATCAAAGACTTGTGTCTCTAAAAAAAAGAATAATAAACTAGGTCTAAATCAACACCTAGGTTTTAAAGTTATGAAAAAGGAGACAAAAGGTTATGGTTTGGACTACGGCCACCTGGAGTTAAAGGCGGCCGTGTTTGGACTCAAACACTGCTGAACACACGGAAAGCTAAATCTTAAATCCGCTGTCAACAATATTGACATTATTCTTATTCATGTCTGTAAAATCCTCTTGAGGCTTTGTTCCGTTGAGTCCACATGGACGTCAGAGATTGGATGTAGATTTCGGAAGTTAATATTAATGGACAAAAAAGAAAAACTCTACTTTTACATCCTCACATATAGGATACATTTACTTCAATCACACACCAATAAGTTATTAATTTTATGTACTCGTAGCTTACCACGCAGCAGACAATTAAAATTAATTAAAGAATATTTTAAAAAGAGGTACAAGAGAGATTTTTCTATAATCAATGGTGTCTGGGTAACTATTTTCTCTAATTAGTTTTAAAGTCATTAGCCTACAGTATTCTCTGCTGTATTCTACCGGGTGGTGAAGCACTGAGAAAACAGTAAATTGTACCACTTTAAAAAAATGTAGGCAAATCTGTTCAAGACTTACCCAGACGGAGGGAATAAGAGTTCAAATTGCTTATTTTGAAATAATCAGTAGTATTACTGTAAATTGGTTTATGCCTGTATGATTTCATAATGAGAAACCACGGCCACCTTTAACTCCAGGCCGCGGCTTGGTAGAATTGGCAACGTCATAAGTAAGATGTTATTAAGCGCCAGAGACTTCCCGATAACATGAATTGGCAACACTCATTAATTCACGTATTATTTAGTAAAATTAAAATTTATGAATTAGTCGGGTAAATATAGGATATGACCTTAAAAAAATTGCAAGAAAACGTTTTATGGTTTTATTTTGTAGAGTTGGGTTTGCAGAATGACATACTAAAAGTTGCCAAAAATCGGTGCACGAGAAAACCACTAAAATCACAATTTAAAATGGCGGCTTTTTTCAACATTGGACAAATTAAAAAAACATATTTCACATGTATTTGTTATGCACATTTTCCAAGATATTGACTTGGGACCACCGCCTGTATTTATTGAGTGGTTAGTACTTCATTTTGATAGGGAACATGTTTTTGACCGCCATCTTGGATCCGCCATATTGGACATAGATAATTTGTTTTCAATGTAATGATAGTGTTGTGACACATCATTACCAACTACATTTTTACACTGATTTCAATGCCGAAATCCGTTTTTAAATATCTTTATTCATTTAGAAGATATATACAAAAGAAAACTCTGCACCATACATTTCTTATGGACGTTTCGTAGTTTGATATTTTTTTTTTAATTATTTTTCTTATATCTCCAGTTCTTATTAACGCTTGTAGTTCGTTCTAGGCTTAAAATATTCAGTAATGTAAGGGCTTTCATTTGAGCTCTTGATCATTAAAATCAGACGAGTTAAAGACCTGCTACGAACCTCAGAACAATATTAAATTTAACTTTTTAGAAATATAATTTAACCATAATTTAACATTAGAATGTATTTATATTGAAATTTGTCTTTAGTTAAAGACGTATATTCCTAATTCTAAATAACTCCCAAAACTCTTTATAGTCTTAAATAATTCGCCAAAATATTGACTTTTATTTTAGCTATGGATTACTTTCCAGGAGTTATTAGGGTTTGGGATATATGTCCTTAACTAAAGACAAATTTCAAAATAAATACATTTTAATGTTAAATTATGGTCCATGGCTCATTCTAAAATTGTCAGATTTTGTTTAGTGATTAATAAAATCAAAGCTAAACATTCCCTGAGTAATTTGAGACAAGAAAGAACTTGGTGACGTATTAACAACCCGAGTTATAAATATTTTAATAAAAATATATTTCTAAAAAGTTAAATTTAATATTGTTCTGAGGTTCGTAGCAGGTCTTTAACTCGTCTGATTTTAATGATCAAGAGCTTATCAATCAATCAATCAATCAAGAAATTTATTTACACAATAATTGCCAATACATAGGATACAAAAGTGCAAAAACCACAAATGGTTTGTCTGCACTAAAAATATTGTTTCTTATCTACCATACAGTTTTTGTCAGTTTGAATCAGTAGCATGCAGTTTTATGAGTTCTTAATTGTCTCTTGAGTAATTAATAACAAAAAAAAGACAACAAAGACACAAATATCTGTAAAAATTCAACAGTAACAATAACAAATAAACTATTGGAATAAATAACAATAATATATTACTTTAACTTCAACTAAAATGTAAATAAATTAAATGCATAATTGTAATAAATTAAAATTGTAACAAATCATTCCAAACAAGTTCCTTTAAATAATGTTTAAACATGCTATAACTATTTGCAAAAACCATATGATTTGTGAGGTTATTAAAACATTTGGGAACAAAAACTTCAAGTGTTCTACTTCCATACTTATTCCTGTGCTTTGGTACAAAATAATAATTCCTTCTAACATCATATGGGTGATTATTGACTATTTTCAAGCTGTTATCAAATAAATGATCAGTGGATATCAAAAAGATATATAACTTACTAACAGGTAGCAGTATAACAAAATGAAAAATCTTTATAATTGGTAACTGCTTAATGTGCACTGGAACAATACATTTGAGCGCTTGCTCCTGCAGATGCTCAATTTTCCTCAGAGAAGTCTTTGAAGCATTGCCCCATGCTCTCACACCATATCTTAATATTGATTCACACAATGACTGGTAAATCACCAATAGCACATTAAATGGCAGGACACTTTTTAAATAAAAAATTTTGCAAACACATGATCTGATTTTTTTACAAACATAATTAACATGTATATCCCATTTAAAATTGTGGTCAACATGAACCCCTAAATATTTAAAATCATGCACATTCTCTAAACTCTTACATTGACAACTTTTTGGGATAAGTGAGTAAGTATGATTATGTAAACAATCAAAATTATGGTAAGTAATGCTTACATTAGAACATTTAAATGCAGGTGAATGCACATGCATGACCTTGGACTTTTTGTCATTTATTACCAATCCATAATCATGACACCATTCTAAAAGGTTGTTAACAGCATTCTGCATATTTTTTCTGCCTCTATTATATTTTTGTTTGATACGACAATTGCAGTGTCATCAGCGTACATAAAAACCGTGTCTTCTTTTATATATTTTGGGAGTGTATTTGCATATATTATATATAAGATTGGGCCCAAAATACTTCCTTGAGGTACCCCAGAAAAAAGTTCTGCCTCTTCACTAAATGTACTATGCACTTTTACAATAATTTTTCTGTTTTTCAGATAGTCTCTAAACCATTCTAAAAACCTGCCAGAAATTCCTATGTCCTTGAGTGCTGTCAATATTTTATCAAACTGCAGTGTATCAAAAGCTTTAGTAAAGTCTATAAAAGTTACTATTACTTGATTGCCCTGCCCTAATTCTTTGTTAATATTGTTAGAAAAATCTTTCAGCAATAACTCTGTACTTTTGTTTTTCTGGAAACCATACTGACTTTTATTTATAACATCATTTTCTGCTAAGTATTTATTTAAATGGTGTGCAATGTACCTTTCCATTATTTTATCTATTGAAGAAAGAATAGATATTGGGCGATAGTTCTGGTATGAATTGTGGCAACCTGATTTATAAACAGGTCTTATAATAGCAGTTTTTAGCAGAGTCGGCATTCTGCCTTCATCAAGTGATGCATTTATTATATTAACCAGCACTTCAGCGGCTTCTAAATTACACTTTTTTAAATCACATTCTCTTATTCCATCTATACCGGGGCTATTTTTCTTTAATTTTACAATAATATCTTCAATATCTTTTCTATTGGCTTTGGGGATGTACAAACTCTTAATATCTCCTAATTTAACCTCAGCACTGTCGAATCCCATTAGCTCAAATGAAAGCCCTTACATTACTGAATATTTTAAGCCTAGAACGAACTACAAGCGTTAATAAGAACTGGAGATATAAGAAAAATAATTTAAAAAAAAATATCAAACTACGAAACGTCCATAAGAAATGTATGGTGCAGAGTTTTCTTTTGTATATATCTTCTAAATGAATAAAGATATTTAAAAACGGATTTCGGCATTGAAATCAGTGTAAAAATGTAGTTGGTAATGATGTGTCACAACACTATCATTACATTGAAAACAAATTATCTATGTCCAATATGGCGGATCCAAGATGGCGGCCAAAAACATGTTCCCTATCAAAATGAAGTACTAACCACTCAATAAATACAGGCGGTGGTCCCAAGTCAATATCTCGAAAAATGTGCATAGCAAATGCATGTGAAATATGTTTTTTTAATTTGTCCAATGTTGAAAAAAGCCGCCATTTTAAATTGTGATTTTAGTGGTTTTCTCGTGCACCGATTTTTGGCAACTTTTAGTATGTCATTCTGCAAACCCAACTCTACAAAATAAAACCATAAAACGTTTTCTTGCAATTTTTTTAACGGTCCCTATGTAAGTTTGTTTAGTTTGCCTGGACTAAATATATTTATTAAAAGATTGAAAATAAAACATATAGAAAATTGAAAACCAAAACAATATAAATATAAAATCGATTTCTGTGTATATTTAAAATGGAGTAAATATTTTCATAACGCAGTAACCAAGCTTTCTTATTCTTGAAACATACACAAATACCATTAGCTGCCTCCAAACAAAACAGCTGTATCAACCCTACTAGTGACGTTGGCCACTTCGATGGCCGTGACCAGGAGATGGAACTTGGTTACCTACAACAAATTTAAACCCATCCCTCACTTCCTTAACCACTATCCTTGTGATGAATTTTTAGCCTGTTACCTGTTCTGAGAGCAGGCCAGCAGTAGGGGCCTTGTCGTTAGGGTTAGCCTCTGGTATCTTCTCGTCCTTACCCAGGTCGTACAGGCCGGACCATCCAATCCACAGTCCTTTACACTCGATTACTACGGGGGCCACGGCTGTTACCAAGCCACCGGCACTGTACAACACATGGGTAATTAGTTTATTGTTTTAACCTGATATTTTTTTTACGTCATTTGACCTATGATTCCAGGAGGTTTTGACCGGCTTTAAAAGATAAATATTTGAGCAGAGCCTTCTTCGTTTGTTACCACTATCTAAGTATCCAATGCATCAGTTAGATATTGAATGTATAAAATAATACATATAAAAAATTATAGTGGAAACACCAAATGGGTTTACAATGATAGACATTTTGCAAGGGAAAACATTACATTAGAGTTGAGAGGGCCTTATCGTTATCAGTTAGTTGTATAGAGCTTTGTTTGACCTGTGAAATTTTGAAAAGAAATATGAAATTTTTGAAAAATGATACATAAAGGCGATTTCTATGATAAATTATTAATAATGTTTCATGAGTTTCCTCACTTACTTTACCACTTGTTGTTTTAAGCACTATTTTTTTCATTCTAAAATTGTATACGTCTCTGATTCATCTTCATGCTGGATCATTATAATGATAATCAAGGTTTGAAACCTAACAATGAATTAGAATGATATTTACCTCTGTTTGCGCTCCAATGTGCCGTCGTCATGACGCGCCAGGACGAAGGGAAGGCGATTGGAGACCACGATCAGCGGTGAACTGACGTCCTTCCTTGGCCCCATACTGCGGACAAATGTATTGGTCAGTGACAGACTGACAGCTACAGACGACACACGTGTGACATTGGCACAACACTAGCTGTGATCACACTCAGGACGCGTGCTACTTGCGTAACTCACACACTTACCTGACTGATGCTGTTAACTGGAACTGACGTCCTTCCTGGGCCCCATACTGCGGACAAATGTATTGGTCAGTGACAGACTGACAGCTACAGACGACACACGTGTGACATTGGCACAACACTAGCTGTGATCACACTCAGGACGCGTGCTACTTGCGTAACTCACACTTACCTGACGGATGCTGTTAACTGATCCTGGGCCCCATACTGCGGACAAATGTATTGGTCAGTGACAGACTGACAGCTACAGATGACACACGTGTGACATTGACACAACACTAGCTGTGATCACACTCAGGACGCGTGCTACTTGCGTAACTCACACTTACCTGACGGATGCTGTTAACTGATCCTTGGCCCCATACTGCGGACAAATGTATTGGTCAGTGACAGACTGACAGCTACAGACGACACACGTGTGACATTGGCACAACACTAGCTGTGATCACACTCAGGACGCGTGCTACTTGCGTAACTCACACTTACCTGACGGATGCTGTTAACTGATCCTGGGCCCCATACTGCGGACAAATGTATTGGTCAGTGACAGACTGACAGCTACAGACGACACACGTGTGACATTGGCACAACACTAGCTGTGATCACACTCAGGACGCGTGCTACTTGCGTAACTCACACACCTACCTGACTGATGCTGTTAACTGATCCTGGGCCCCATGCTGCGGACAAATGTATTGGTCAGTGACAGACTGACAGCTACAGACGACACACGTGTGACATTGACACAACACTAGCTGTGATCACACTCAGGACGCGTGCCACTTGCGTAACTCACACTTACCTGACTGATGCTGTTAACTGATCCTGGGCCCCATGCTGCGGACAAATGTATTGGTCAGTGACAGCCTGACAGCTACAGACGACACACGTGTGACATTGACACAACACTAGCTGTGATCACACTCAGGACGCGTGCCACTTGCGTAACTCACACTTACCTGACTGATGCTGTTAACTGATCCTGGGCCCCATGCTGCGGACAAATGTATTGGTCAGTGACAGACTGACAGCTACAGACGACACACGTGTGACATTGGCACAACACTAGCTGTGATCACACTCAGGACGCGTGCTACTTGCGTAACTCACACACCTACCTGACTGATGCTGTTAACTGATCCAGGGCCTCATGCTGCGGACAAATGTATTGGTCAGTGACAGACTGACAGCTACAGACGACACACGTGTGACATTGACACAACACTAGCTGTGATCACACTCAGGACGCGTGCTACTTGCGTAACTCACACACCTACCTGACTGATGCTGTTAACTGATCCAGGGCCCCATGCTGCGGACAAATGTATTGGTCAGTGACAGACTGACAGCTACAGACGACACACGTGTGACATTGACACAACACTAGCTGTGATCACACTCAGGACGCGTGCTACTTGCGTAACTCACACTTACCTGACTGATGCTGTTAACTGATCCTGGGCCCCATGCTGCGGACAAATGAATTGGTCAGTGACAGACTGACAGCTACAGACGACACACGTGTGACATTGACACAACACTAGCTGTGATCACACTCAGGACGCGTGCTACTTGCGTAACTCACACACCTACCTGACTGATGCTGTTAACTGATCCTGGGCCCCATGCTGCGGACAAATGTATTGGTCAGTGACAGACTGACAGCTACAGACGACACACGTGTGACATTGGCACAACACTAGCTGTGATCACACTCAGGACGCGTGCTACTTGCGTAACTCACACACCTACCTGACTGATGCTGTTAACTGATCCTGGGCCCCATGCTGCGGACAAATGTATTGGTCAGTGACAGACTGACAGCTACAGACGACACACGTGTGACATTGGCACAACACTAGCTGTGATCACACTCAGGACGCGTGCTACTTGCGTAACTCACACACCTACCTGACTGATGCTGTTAACTGATCCAGGGCCTCATGCTGCGGACAAATGTATTGGTCAGTGACAGACTGACAGCTACAGACGACACACGTGTGACATTGACACAACACTAGCTGTGATCACACTCAGGACGCGTGCTACTTGCGTAACTCACACACCTACCTGACTGATGCTGTTAACTGATCCTGGGCCTCATACTGCGGACAAATGTATTGGTCAGTGACAGACTGACAGCTACAGACGACACACGTGTGACATTGACACAACACTAGCTGTGATCACACTCAGGACGCGTGCTACTTGCGTAACTCACACACCTACCTGACTGATGCTGTTAACTGATCCTGGGCCTCATACTGCGGACAAATGTATTGGTCAGTGACAGACTGACAGCTACAGACGAATTGACACAACACTGGCTGTGATCACACTCAGGACGCGTGCTACTTGCGTAACTCACACTTACCTGACTGATGCTGTTAACTGATCCTGGGCCTCATGCTGCGGACAAATGTATTGGTGAGTGACAGACTGACAGCTACAGACGACACACGTGTGACATTGACACAACACTAGCTGTGATCACACTCAGGACGCGTGCTACTTGCGTAACTCACACACCTACCTGACTGATGCTGTTAACTGATCCTGGGCCTCATACTGCGGACAAATGTATTGGTCAGTGACAGACTGACAGCTACAGACGACACACGTGTGACATTGACACAACACTAGCTGTGATCACACTCAGGACGCGTGCTACTTGCGTAACTCACACACCTACCTGACTGATGCTGTTAACTGATCCTGGGCCTCATACTGCGGACAAATGTATTGGTCAGTGACAGACTGACAGCTACAGACGAATTGACACAACACTGGCTGTGATCACACTCAGGACGCGTGCTACTTGCGTAACTCACACTTACCTGACTGATGCTGTTAACTGATCCTGGGCCCCATGCTGCGGACAAATGTATTGGTCAGTGACAGACTGACAGCTACAGACGACACACGTGTGACATTGACACAACACTAGCTGTGATCACACTCAGGACGCGTGCTACTTGCGTAACTCACACTTACCTGACTGATGCTGTTAACTGATCCTGAGCCCCATACTGCGGACAAATGTATTGGTCAGTGACAGACTGACAGCTACAGACGACACACGTGTGACATTGACACAACACTAGCTGTGATCACACTCAGGACGCGTGCTACTGGCGTAACTCACACTTACCTGACTGATGCTGTTAACTGATCCTGGGCCCCATGCTGCGGACAAATGTATTGGTCAGTGACAGACTGACAGCTACAGACGACACACGTGTGATATTGACACAACACTAGCTGTGATCACACTCAGGACGCGTGCTACTTGCGTAACTCACACACCTACCTGACTGATGCTGTCAACTGGAATTTGTTGAGCTAAGAGACTGGTAGATGCAACCTGTTCTTTTAAGGTTTAGTTTCGGTTACTCAATGCATGCTTTTCAAAACATATCGGTGATAATTTTGACAGATATACTGTACTAAAGTTTGATTCATTCCCGGACTTCCAATCACAAAACCTGTCCCTTTCGGAACAGTCCAGGGAAATAAATCGTTGTTAAAGCTAGGTATTACTCGTCACCTATTATAGCATCATAATATATGTTGTAGTGATCAGCTAACTTGTTAACAAATCGTATTCGGTATTTATTTTTGTAATTGTATTAATTTCAAATCAATTGTGACAGTATTTATATCACCTTGGGAAAACAAATTACAGTACAAATAATGTTCGGCTTTTATATGCACATTAAATTGATTACATAGATATATTTATTAGCTTTATTGCGCAGCTTCGTAACACCCATTAACAAACTCACAATCTACAAATTCGACCAATAATGTATTAATATAAACCTTACAGCACTTAATATAGTAATCAATCAGCAAGTTAGTGTTTTTTCGCGCCCAAGTTGGCAATGCTGGCAGTGTCCGGTTCCGGTCACTCGCACTCACGTGAGCAGCTGATGCTCAATTAGCCGGACCTGATAACCCGCTGGCCGCTACACATCCCCACCACCACCTCCTTGTAACCTTTGTTAAACGCGTAGTAATGAGTTGAGCAAACCGATAACTGTTTGTAAATATAGCAAAGACCTTGCCGTTGATCATCTAAAATAACTCAGTACTTTGAATATTATATGAATACTAGAGTTTATTTGTGCGTAAACAAAATTATTTGTGCAGTCGACAAAATCTCATTTTTCTAGGTTACGCGGTTGTTAAAAAATACTTTTCTTATATATATTTTATAATAGAGTGAGTGGTTAGCTCTACGTTTATTAAGATCCGTAGGAGAAAATATAGCCATTGGACTTTATATCTACACTATATCTATGACTATATCTATCTATATGTGTAGATATAAAGTCAATGATATAGCTTAATATGTCAAATAAGCAGTGTTTTAATTCCTTGAACACCTTGCAAGGACTATGATTTACAGTACAAACGAATTTTCCAAAGAGAATAAAAATTGATCCTTGTTGTTGTTATGCATAATTTTCACAAAGTGAAACATTCGAATGAAAAATAAATTCGAAAGGTAAAAACTACCAACCCCACAAACTCGTTTCAATGTTATTTGAGAACCCACGTCAAGATTTGTTGCTGAATTCTATAAATTTGATCAGGCACCATGTACGATTACGTGCGTAACTTACAGAATTACAAATTATAACGCCTTCAAATACACACTAGTGTACCTGTTGCTCGATTTCGAGCAATTGCGAAGTATTTTGTATTAAGTACAGGTGTTATTTGAAAACGAATAACAGTCATAATTTCCGATGACTAAAAGAGTCGACTGAAATATTATGGAAATACTCACGATGTACAAAACAGTTCGATATAATCAACATTTATCTTAAATATATTATCATTTTTCAAAAGCTGTTTTTTTTTTAGTATTTTC